AGGACAGACAGACTCAGACTCAGCAACAAGACTAGCGGCGTAGTCTAGACGACAGGCAGCAGCAAAGTCAACAAGCTCAGCAACTAGGGCAGACGTAGCAGCAGACTCAAACGACGGGTCAGTGACAACAGTGGCTAGCAGACGCGTGACAGTAGGGTGCTCAGCACGAAACCGGTCAGACTCGGGGTCAGCAACGACAGGCAGAGAAGACGCAGGGGGGGAAGGCAGAGGAACGCGTTGTGGAGGAGAGGAAGGACGACGGACTACGAGGTGGGTGTCGGGGACAGCCGGCAGACGCGGACGAGGAACACGACGACCGGAACGACCAGAACAGACAGGCGAGACAGGACGCGACGCAGGCTCACGACGCTCAGTAAAACTCCCTAGCTGCTCAGTGTAAGGAGAAGGAGCAGGCAGCGGTGAACCAGGCTGCAACGGAAGACCAGTAGACGAAGGGAGACTAAGAACCTGGCGAAGCACAGAGTCAGGCGGTGGGTGAAACGACGGAGACGGTGGAGCGAAGAACAGGCGCGGCTGTGTAGTGACACCAGCACCAGCAGCTCCAGTACCTCCAGCAGCTCCAGAACCTCCAGCGCCAGCACCCTCAGCAGCTCCAGAACCTCCAGCGCCAGCACCCTCAGCAGCTCCAGAACCTCCAGCTCCAGCGCCACCAGCGGCAGGACCACCAGCAGCTACAGAACCTCCAGCGCCAGCACCCTCAGCAGCTCCAGAACCTCCAGCTCCAGGGCCACCTGCGCCAGCACCTCCAGCAGCTCCAGAACCCTCAGCGCCAGCTCCCCCAGGACCAGCTCCACCAACAGCAGCACCCCCAGAACCGGCACCTCCAGTCCCAGGGTCTCCATCCTCAGTGCCTCCAGCAGCAGCACCCTCAGACTCAGCACCTCCAGCCCCAGCAACTCCAGTACCTCCAGTACGAGCACCTCCGGGACCAGCACCACTCCCAGCTCCAGTGACGACAGCAGAAGTACCTCCAGCGGCAGACCGTACCAGTCGTGCAGCTGCTGCGAGGTGAGAGGCACACGCGGACGAAGGCGGCTACTCCAAGGAAGCCGCGCAACAGCAGACTCAGAACCCTCAGCTCCAGCAGCGCAACCCTGACGGCCAGCGTACCACTCAAACAGCTGCTGTGGGGAGAGAGGGAGTCGACGACGAGAGTGCAGCGGCGAGGCACCAGCAGAGCGACTACGGAGACGGCCGCTCCCGGGAGACTGCTCACCAGACGCCTCAGCGCCCCCAGGCTCAGCACCCCCAGACTCCTCACACCCAGGCTCAGCACCTCCAGTCTCCGCACCCCCAGGCTCCGCACCCCCAGGCTCAGCACCCCCAGGCTCCGCACCCCCAGGCTCAGCACCCCCAGGCTCCGCACCCCCAGGCTCAGCACCCCCAGCAGCAGCACCACCCTCAGCAGCACCTGAGTCACCAGTGACCTCAACCTGAGGAGGAGGGTCTACCTGAGACACACCTGAAGGAGCAGGACCGGGAGCGGGGAGGGGGTCTACCTGGGGAGCACCTGGAGCGAGAAAGAGCGGCGGGGGGGGGAGAGGGGCAGTGCGGTAGGGAAGAGACGGTAAAAGGGAACCGACTCGTCGAACGTGACGTCCTGAGAGGGGAAGACACGGCGCGAGGTGGGGTGGTAAAACTGCCAACCAGGCGCGTCAGGGACAAAGCCAAGGAAGACACAGGGAACAGCGCGGGCGGAGAGCTTGTCCGCGGTGGTATCGCGGACAAAGGCACGAGCACCCCAGACCCGGAAACGCGACGCATCGCCAACCTTCCCCGTCCACAGCAGTGTGGGCGAGGTGTCCGGCAAGGAGACACGGGGCCAGAGGTTGAGCTGATGCGCGGCGTACCGGACCGCAAACGGCCACAGAAAATGGGGGGCAGCCGCATGGATCATGGAGGTACGAGCGACCTCCATGACTAAGCCAATGCGGCGCTCAGCAACCCCATTCTGCTGCGAGAGGCCGGAAGCGTGAACGACTGGCGGATGCCGTGCTCCGCACAGTAGGCTGCCAAGAGGTCTGAGGAGAACTCACCACCTCTGTCAGAGTGCAGACGCAGGACAGGAAAGTCCGACTGGAACCGCTCGCGGAGCTGGAGACGAGTAGCGCGGATCCAGGGGATCAAAACATCAGGGACCTCCCCCTTGCAGCGCAAGGGGAAGACCGTGGTGTAACGCGTGTAGTCGTCGACGACCAGCAGGAAGTACCGCTCGTGGCCCTGTCCACGGACGCGGGCTGGGCCCCACACGTCCAGGTGGAGAGTCTGCAAGGGAGCCTCTGTGGGAGGGAACGAGGAGGAGTGAGGAGCGGCGCGCTGCCGCCCCTCGACACAGGGAAGACAGGGAGGATCAGGCGAGGGCGGTAGAGGAGGCAGAGTCTTTGGAAGTCCAGAGACAAGGAAACGGCTGTGCATGCGACGAAGGCGCTGCACCGAGGGGTGACCAAGGCGGTGGTGCCACAGGACGGTCTGGTGCGACAAAGCGCGACACGAACAGGGGGCCGCTAGCTGACCTGACGCAAACGCAGACGCAGACGCAGCTACCTGAGGGGACACAGTGGTCAGTGTGTACAGACTCGAGCCAGGCACTCGGGTGAACGTGGCCAGGTGCCGACCAGTCCGGGAGCACGTACAGTGGGTCACACGCTGACCTCCAGGGGTGAACTGGTCAACCCACACATCCTGTAGGTCAGCTCCACTCACCAAGTTCGTAGAGAACGAGGGGAGGTGAAGACCTGACAGGGAGCCAGACGGGACCGCTGGACACGGCAGGACCGTGGAGGAGTGCGCAAGGACTGGACCCCCAGAGGGGTCTGCCAGTGAGACTGCAACTGGCCGACGGAGCGGCGTGAGTGTGGTGCTGTCACGAAAGAAGGAGCGGGAAGCACCTGAGTCAAGTGTGAAGGTGTACACGGCCTCAGCAGGCGCAGTACCAGAGAGAGCAGACTCACCAGCACCTGGAGCAGCAGTCTCACCAGTACCTAGAGCAGGAGACGCACGAGCACCTAGAGCAGCAGCCTCACCAGCACCTAGCGCAGGAGACGCACTAGCACCTAGAGCAGCAGCCTCTATACCTGGGTCAGGCGGTACGCACAGGGAACAGGCACGGTCATCACTAGTAGGCAATGCATACATGGCAGTGAGAATAGCATCATAGTCAAGAGCAAAGATATCTACCCCCTGCCCAAGCAGCTCCAGCCAGGCGGGGACCTCAGCCTCGTCACCAAACTCTGTGCGCCAGGCGTCGCTCAGACGGGCGAAGCAGCGGGACTGGGTGTGACCAAGTGTCCCGCAAGCCTGACCAAACCGATCACCTGTGCGTGGGACGTACGGGCAGCGAACGGTACTCCGAGACCCTCGACTCTGAGCGTACCACTCGTGAAGCTGCCGGGACGTAAGTGTCTCGCGCGGACGCCGCTGCAGCTGCAGCTGGCCACTGCCAGACGCTCCCGACCGACTAGCTCCAGGGCGACAGTCACGACGGCCACCGCCACAACCCCAACTAGCGTACCACTCACTCAGCTGCTGGGGCGTGAGGGACTCACCGGGCGTCGCTGGAGCTGCATCTGGCCTCCGCCAGTAGCAGCAGGAGCAGTAGTAGCAGCAGTAGCAGCAGTAACAGCCGTAGCAGCAGTAACAGCCATAGTACGTGCAGGGCAGGCGCGACACGCAGGCAGGCAGGCAAGCAGGCAGGCAGGCAGGCAGGCAGGCAGGCAGGCGGCGCGGCAGCGCGCTAGCAAGGCAGGGGCTCACCAGTGGCGGGAAGAGCAGGCTCTCACCGGGCGAGCAGGGCCGGTGCTCGGCGGACTGCGGCAGGGTCGGCGCACGACGGCGGCGACAGCGGGGCCGCAGCAGCGGCTACAGTGAAGGGCCGGGTCGAGTCAGCGGCAGGGCGGGGCCGGGTCGTGTCAGCGGCAGGGCGGGGCCGTGTCGGCGGCAGGGCGGGGCCGGGTCGTGTCAGCGGCAGGGTGGGGCCATGTCGGCGGCAGGGGGAGGCCGTGGCGGCGGTAGGGTGGCGCGCGCCGCTGCCTGGGGCCGCGCACTGGCGGGTAGAGCGCGGCGCGGGCTGCGCGGACGGCGCGCAGCGCGCTGCGGGCCGCGGACGCGCCGCGCGGGCTTTGGGCGGGCTGCGCGGGGCAGCGGCGGGCCGCGCGCGCGCTGCGCGGGCTCGGTGCGGGCCGCGCGGGGCAGGTGTGGGCCGCGCGCGCGTCGCGCGGGCTCGGGGCGGGCTGCGCGGGGCAGCTGCGGGCCGCGCGCGCGCTGCGCGGGCTCGACGCGGGCTGCGCGGGCCGTGTGCGGGACGCGACGCGGCTGCCGAGGCGCGATTCGGGCAGGAGAGGGCGACCCGCGGGGGTAAAAACGAGGCAGCGCTTGAAAATTAGGTCTGCGCGCGAAGCAGCAGCAGACAGCTCAGTCAGCAGACAGTAGGCAACAGGCAGACGGCGCGCGCAGCGCAGCACGTCACAGGCAAAGTCAGTCACAGTCACAGTCGTGGGGTAGCGGTAGGTGGGCCCGAAAAAAAAGTCCTACGGACCTACTGCTCTGAAACCATGTCAGAATCAAGAGGCAAGAATGGATTGACTAGGAAGCAAGGATGAGTACAAGTAGGGCAATGTCTAACCCTAAAGTGTTGTACTCAGTAGAGGCTACCCCACTACAGCCTACAACAGAGAAACCTAGTTTGACAGGGGGAACACAGGATGGTTGCCATGCAAGGCACATGGATAAAGTGTGTTTGCTGCTAGCACCAGCACTCCCGTCTCAGCAGCAGCAGGCCCATCTCAACCACACATGCCTTGCCTCTGTGCACATAGGTGCATGCACTCCACTCACCTGTGCCCACGGGTGCATAGTGCACACCCGGCAGCAGCAGAGGGTAAAAAAGCTCCATGCAGCAAGAGAGCATGGAACTCCATACAGACACTGTGTCCACCATGCATGCCTGCTCATTGAACCGCACAGCACCGCAACCAACCCACCTGTGCCCCACGGGCGCGTAGTGCACGCCTGGCAGCAGCAGCGGGTCAAAGAACTCCGTGTAGCCTGACACGTGGCGGATGACGGCCTGTGGGCCACTGAGAGCGCGACACATGTCACGCGTGCCGATCTGCTCGTCCACCACCAACACGTACTTGCACCCCCTCCTCCTCTCTGCCACGTCATCCAGCTCCTCCGCCAGCACCACACCGTGCCTGCGGGGGTGGATGGGAGACGAGGTAAGAATACCTCACGCTGACGCAACACGTCTCAAGGGGAATGCTTTTCCCTATTGGAACACTCCTCCCTCTTCTGAACCCCCCCACCCCGCCCTCGAATCCCACCCCCACCTGAGCAGCAACTTCTTAGCGTCAACACCGTCCTTATCGCCCCACATGGTGAGCCGGGCGTTCAGCAGGTCAGGGCGAGAGCTCCCTCCCTCCCTCCCTCCCTCCCTGCCTCCCTCCCTCTCTCCCTCCCTCCCTCCCTGCCTCCCTCCCTGCCTCCCTCCCTGCCTCCCTCCCTCCCTCCCTCCCTCCCTCCCTCCCTCCCTCCCTCCCTCCCTCCCTCCCTCCCTCCCTCCCTCCCTCCCTCCCTCCCTCCCTCCCTCCCTCCCTCCCTCCCTTCCTCCCTCCCTGCCTCCCTCCCTCCCTCCCTCCCTCCCTCCCTGCCTCCCTCCATCCCTTGACCCCACCCCCCAACCCCTTCACCTGAGCAGCAGCTTCTTGCCGTCAACGCCATCCTTATCGCCCCACATGGTGAGCCTCCCGCCCAGCAGGTCAGGGCGGGCATCGGACATGTTCCCCCCATCCCTCCGCCCCCCAATCCCCTACCTCTCCTTCCAACACCACCCTCACCTGAGCAGCAGCTTCTTGGCGTCAACGCCGTCCTTATCGTCCCACATGGTCAGCCGTGCATACAGCAGGTCAGGGCGGGCTGATGAGAGACTGAGAGCGTCAGCCCTCACAGAACCCACGAGGATCTCTCCCTCAACTTAAGATTTCCACCCCCCAACCCTCACCTGAGCAGCAGCTTCTTGGCATCAACGCCATCCTTATCGCCCCACATGGTCAGCCGCGCGTCGAGAAGGTCAGGGCGGGCATCGGACATGCGGTGCAGGCGCACGCGTAGGCTCGTGGCCCAGTTGGCCTCCTTTAGAACCAGCTCCAACGCCCTGCCCCGCCACTCCGCCCTGCTCTGCCTCTGCTCATGGGGAGGAGGGGGGGGACAGGCAGGGGGGACAGGCAGAGGGGAACGGCAGGGGGTGAGAAGCGGCAGCATCGGACATGCGGTGCAGGCGCAATAGCAGGCTGCTGGCCCAGTTGGCCTCCTTCAACACCAGCTCCAACGCCCTTCCCCTCCACTCCGCCTTGCTCTTGCGCTGCTTAGAGGGGATGAGAAAGAGAGAGAGACAGGGGGGACATACAGGGGCAGAGGAGAACAAGGCACGTCTGACAAGCGGTGCAGGCGCACTCTCAGGCTGCTCGCCCAGTTTGCCTCTTTTCGTACCAGCTCCAGCGCACTGCCCCGCCATACCGCCTTGCTATGCCGCTGGTCATGCAGGGGGAGGGAGAACGGGGGAAAGGATGCAGATGGAGAACTTGTGCTAAAAAATGTGGGAGGAAAATCAAGCCACAACACGTTCCTGTCCTCTGCACGCCCAGCCAAACCCGGCAGGATCCAGGAACATGCTCCTCCCCTCACCCCAGGATCCAGTCTCTCCTTTCCAGAAGCAGCATCTGACTGAGTTGACTCACAGGCCATCTGCACGGCTCAGGTGTGAGGTGCAGGTGTGAGGTGCAGGTTTGAGGTGCAGGTGTGAGGTGCAGGTTTGAGGTGCAGGTGTGAGGTGCAGGTGTGAGGTGCAGGTTTGAGGTGCAGGTTTGAGGTGCAGGTTTGAGGTGCAGGTTTGAGGTGCAGGTTTGAGGTCAGGTTTGAGGCGCAGGTTTGACGTGCAGGTTTGAGGTGCAGGTTTGAGGTGCAGGTTTGAGGTGCAGGTTTGAGGTGCAGGTTTGAGGTGCAGGTTTGAGGTGCAGGTTTGAGGTGCAGGTTTGAGGTGCAGGTTTGAGGTGCAGGTTTGACGTCAGGTTTGAGGTGCAGGTTTGAGGTGCAGGTTTGGTGCAGGTTTGAGGTGCAGCTTTGAGGTGCAGCTTTGAGGTGCAGGTTTGAGGTGCAGGTTTGAGGTGCAGGTTTGAGGTGCAGGTTTGAGGTGCAGGTTTGAGGTCAGGTTTGAGGTCAGGTTTGAGGTGCAGGTTTGAGGGGCAGGTTTGAGGTGCAGGTTTGAGGTGCAGGTTTGAGGTCACGTTTGAGGTGCAGGTTTGAGGTGCAGGTTTGAGGTGCAGGTTTGAGGTGCAGGTTTGAGGTGCAGGTTTGAGGTGCAGGTTTGAGGTGCAGGTTTGAGGTGCGGGTTTGAGGTCAGGTTTGAGGTGCAGGTTTGAGGTGAGGTTTGAGGTGCAGGTTTGAGGTGCAGGTTTGAGGTGCAGGTTTGAGGTGCAGGTTTGAGGTGCAGGTTTGAGGTGCAGGTTTGAGGTGCAGGTTTGAGGTGCGGGTTTGAGGTGCAGGTTTGGGGTGCAGGTTTGACGTCAGGTTTGAGGTGCGGGTTTGAGGTGCAGGTGTGAGGTGCAGGTTTGAGGTGCAGGTTTGAGGTGCAGGTTTGAGGTGCAGGTTTGAGGTGCAGGTTTGAGGTGCAGGTTTGAGGTGCAGGTTTGAGGTGCAGGTTTGACGTCAGCTTTGAGGTGCAGGTTTGAGGTGCAGGTTTGAGGTGCAGGTTTGAGGTGCAGGTTTGAGGTGCAGGTTTGAGGTGCAGGTTTGAGGTGCAGGTTTGAGGTGCAGGTTTGACGTCAGCTTTGAGGTGCAGGTTTGAGGTGCAGGTTTGAGGTGCAGGTTTGAGGTGCAGGTTTGAGGTGCAGGTTTGAGGTGCAGGTTTGAGGTGCAGGTTTGAGGTGCAGGTTTGAGGTGCAGGTTTGAGGTGCAGGTTTGACGTCAGCTTTGAGGTGCAGGTTTGAGGTGCAGGTTTGAGGTGCAGGTTTGAGGTGCAGGTTTGAGGTCAGGTTTGAGGTGCAGGTTTGAGGTGCAGGTTTGACGTCAGGTTTGAGGTGCGGGTTTGAGGTGCAGGTTTGAGGTGCAGGTTTGACGTCAGGTTTGAGGTCAGGTTTGAGGTGCAGGTATGACGTGCAGGTTTGAGGTGCAGGTTTGAGGTGCAGGTTTGAGGTCAGGTTTGAGGTGCAGGTTTGAGGTGCAGGTTTGTGGTGCAGGTTTTACGTCAGCTTTGAGGTGCAGGTTTGAGGTGCAGGTTTGAGGTGCAGGTTTGAGGTGCAGGTTTGAGGTGCAGGTTTGACGTCAGCTTTGAGGTGCAGGTTTGAGGTGCAGGTTTGAGGTGCAGGTTTGAGGTGCAGGTTTGACGTCAGGTTTGAGTTGCAGGTTTGAGGTCAGGTTTGAGGTGCAGGTTTGAGGTGCAGGTTGAGGTGCAGGTTTGAGGTGCAGGTTTGAGGTGCAGGTTTGAGGTGCAGGTTTGAGGTGCAGGTTTGAGGTGCAGGTTTGAGGTGCAGGTTTGAGGTGCAGGTTTGACGTCAGGTTTGAGGTGCAGGTTTGAGGTGCAGGTTTGAGGTGCAGGTTTGAGGTGCAGGTTTGAGGTGCAGGTTTGAGGTGCAGGTTTGAGGTGCAGGTTTGAGGTGCAGGTTTGACGTCAGGTTTGAGGTGCAAGTTTGAGGTGCAGGTTTGAGGTCAGGCTTGAGGTGCAGGTTTGAGGTGCAGGTTTGAGGTCAGGTTTGAGGTGCAGGTTTGAGGTGCAGGTTTGAGGTGCAGGTTTGAGGTGCAGGTTTGAGGTGCAGGTTTGAGGTGCAGGTTTGAGGTGCAGGTTTGAGGTGCAGGTTTGAGGTGAGGTTTGAGGTGCAGGTTTGAGGTGCAGGCTTGAGGTGCAGGTTTGAGGTGCAGGTTTGAGGTGCAGGTTTGAGGTGCCGGTTTGAGGTGCAGGTTTGAGGTGCAGGTTTGAGGTGCAGGTTTGAGGTGCAGGTTTGAGGTGCAGGTTTGAGGTGCAGGTTTGAGGTCAGGTTTGAGGTGCAGGTTTGAGGTGCAGGTTTGAGGTGCAGGTTTGAGGTGCAGGTTTGAGGTGCAGGTTTGAGGTGCAGGTTTGAGGTGCAGGTTTGAGGTGCAGGTTTGACGTCAGGTTTGAGTTGCAGGTTTGAGGTCAGGTTTGAGGTGCAGGTTTGAGGTGCAGGTTTGAGGTGCAGGTTTGAGGTGCAGGTTTGAGGTGCAGGTTTGAGGTGCAGGTTTGAGGTGCAGGTTTGAGGTGCAGGTTTGAGGTGCAGGTTTGAGGTGCAGGTTTGACGGTGCAGGTTTGAGGTGCAGGTTTGAGGTGCAGGTTTGAGGTGCAGGTTTGAGGTGCAGGTTTGAGGTGCAGGTTTGAGGTGCAGGTTTGAGGTGCAGGTTTGAGGTGCAGGTTTGAGGTGCAGGTTTGAGTGCAGGTTGGTCAGGTTTGAGGTGCAGGTTTGAGGTGCAGGTTTGAGGTGCAGGTTTGAGGTGCAGGTTTGAGGTGCAGGTTTGAGGTGCAGGTTTGAGGTGCAGGTTTGAGGTGCAGGTTTGAGGTGCAGGTTTGAGGTGCAGGTTTTGAGGTGCAGGTTTGAGGTGGCAGGTTTGAGGTGCAGGTTTGAGGTGCAGGTTTGACGTCAGTTTGAGGTGCAGGTTTGAGGTGCAGGTTTGAGGTGCAGGTTTGAGGTGCAGGTTTGAGGTGCAGGTTTGAGGTGCAGGTTTGAGGTGCAGGTTTGAGGTGCAGGTTTGAGGTGCAGGTTTGAGGTGCAGGTTTGAGGTGCAGGTTTGAGGTGCAGGTTTGAGGTGCAGGTTTGAGGTGCAGGTTTGAGGTGCAGGTTTGAGGTGCAGGTTTGAGGTGCAGGTTTGAGGTGCAGGTTTGAGGTGCAGGTTTGAGTGCAGGTTTGAGGTGCAGGTTTGAGGTGCAGGTTTGAGGTGCAGGTTTGAGGTCAGGTTTGAGGTGCAGGTTTGAGGTGCAGGTTTGAGGTGCAGGTTTGAGGTGCAGGTTTGAGGTGCAGGTTTGAGGTGCAGGTTTGAGGTGCAGGTTTGAGGTGCAGGTTTGAGGTGCAGGTTTGAGGTGCAGGTTTGAGGTGCAGGTTTGAGGTGCAGGTTTGAGGTGCAGGTTTGAGGTGCAGGTTTGAGGTGCAGGTTTGAGGTGCAGGTTTGAGGTGCAGGTTTGAGGTGCAGGTTTGAGGTGCAGGTTTGAGGTGAGGTTTGAGGTGCAGGTTTGAGGTGCAGGTTTGAGGTGCAGGTTTGAGGTGCAGGTTTGAGGTGAGGTTTGAGGTGCAGGTTTGAGGTGAGGTTTGAGGTGCAGGTTTGAGGTGCAGGTTTGAGGTGCAGGTTTGAGGTGCAGGTTTGAGGTGAGGTTTGAGGTGCAGGTTTGAGGTGCAGGTTTGAGGTGCAGGTTTGAGGTGCAGGTTTGAGGTGCAGGTTTGAGGTGCAGGTTTGAGGTGCAGGTTTGAGGTGCAGGTTTGAGGTGCAGGTTTGAGGTGCAGGTTTGAGGTGCAGGTTTGAGGTGCAGGTTTGAGGTGAGGTTTGAGGTGCAGGTTTGAGGTGCAGGTTTGAGGTGCAGGTTTGAGGTGCAGGTTTGAGGTCAGGTTTGAGGTGCAGGTTTGAGGTGCAGGTTTGAGGTGCAGGTTTGAGGTGCAGGTTTGAGGTGCAGGTTTGAGGTCAGGTTGAGTGCAGGTTTGAGGTGCAGGTTTGAGGTGCAGGTTTGAGGTGCAGGTTTGAGGTGCAGGTTTGAGGTGCAGGTTTGAGGTGCAGGTTTGAGGTGCAGGTTTGAGGTGCAGGTTTGAGGTGCAGGTTTGAGGTCAGGTTTGAGGTGCAGGTTTGAGGTGCAGGTTTTGAGGTGCAGGTTTGAGGTGCAGGTTTGAGGTGCAGGTTTGAGGTGCAGGTTTGAGGTGCAGGTTTGAGGTGCAGGTTTGAGGTGCAGGTTTGAGGTGCAGGTTTGAGGTGCAGGTTTGAGGTGCAGGTTGAGGTGCAGGTTTGAGGTGCAGGTTTGAGGTGCAGGTTTGAGGTGCAGGTTTGAGGTGCAGGTTTGAGGTGCAGGTTTGAGGTGCAGGTTTGAGGTGCAGGTTTGAGGTGCAGGTTTGAGGTGCAGGTTTGAGGTGCAGGTTTGAGGTGCAGGTTTGAGGTGCAGGTTTGAGGTGCAGGTTTGAGGTGCAGGTTTGAGGTGAGGTTTGAGGTGCAGGTTTGAGGTGAGGTTTGAGGTGCAGGTTTGAGGTGCAGGTTTGAGGTGCAGGTTTGAGGTGCAGGTTTGAGGTGCAGGTTTGAGGTGCAGGTTTGAGGTGCAGGTTTGAGGTGCAGGTTTGAGGTGCAGGTTTGAGGTGCAGGTTTGAGGTGCAGGTTTGAGGTGCAGGTTTGAGGTGCAGGTTTGAGGTGCAGGTTTGAGGTGCAGGTTTGAGGTGCAGGTTTGAGGTGCAGGTTTGAGGTGCAGGTTTGAGGTGCAGGTTTGAGGTGCAGGTTTGAGGTGCAGGTTTGAGGTGCAGGTTTGAGGTGCAGGTTTGAGGTGCAGGTTTGAGGTGCAGGTTTGAGGTGCAGGTTTGAGGTGCAGGTTTGAGGTGCAGGTTTGAGGTGCAGGTTTGAGGTGCAGGTTTGAGGTGCAGGTTTGAGGTGCAGGTTTGAGGTGCAGGTTTGAGGTGCAGGTTTGAGGTGCAGGTTTGAGGTGCAGGTTTGAGGTGCAGGTTTGAGGTGCAGGTTTGAGGTGCAGGTTTGAGGTGCAGGTTTGAGGTGCAGGTTTGAGGTGCAGGTTTGAGGTGCAGGTTTGAGGTGCAGGTTTGAGGTGCAGGTTTGAGGTGCAGGTTTGAGGTGCAGGTTTGAGGTGCAGGTTTGAGGTGCAGGTTTGAGGTGCAGGTTTGAGGTGCAGGTTTGAGGTGCAGGTTTGAGGTGCAGGTTTGAGGTGCAGGTTTGAGGTGCAGGTTTGAGGTGCAGGTTTGAGGTGCAGGTTTGAGGTGCAGGTTTGAGGTGCAGGTTTGAGGTGAGGTTTGAGGTGCAGGTTTGAGGTGCAGGTTTGAGGTGCAGGTTTGAGGTGCAGGTTTGAGGTGCAGGTTTGAGGTGCAGGTTTGAGGTGCAGGTTTGAGGTGCAGGTTTGAGGTGCAGGTTTGAGGTGCAGGTTTGAGGTGCAGGTTTGAGGTGCAGGTTTGAGGTGCAGGTTTGAGGTGCAGGTTTGAGGTGAGGTTTGAGGTCAACAGCTGGCCGGATCAGGTTTGGGGATCACGTTTGGGACTCAGGTTTGGGGCTCAGACTTGGGAATTTGGTTTGGGAATCAGGTTTGGTGTTCAAGTCCATGAAGGCGGATGTGAATCTCCCTCCCGCGCTTAGCAGTGTTCGCCAGGAGGCCGCTCTCCCTTCTCGCCTGTAACCCGTAATCCCTTCTTTTCCGTCTCTCACCCTTTCACAGTGCCCCAGCCCAGGTTCATGGCGCTGGTGTTCAAATCAATGAAGGCGCCCACACGCACTCACCCGCTGCCATATGGGCAGAGGCTCCAGCCCCTGCCTTTCCTGCCGCTCCTCCCCCCCTCCGAACCCGTGCAGCCCATGGCCGTTTGGGGGCGAGTAGGAGGGCTGGTAGGCGAGGTCCAGTGGGTCCGGGAAGACACACACACAGTGCTGTCACGCCGGGCGTCCACTGCGCACTCAGTGCTGCAAAGCCCGAACGACCACGACCCACCCCTCCCATCCCAAGCACCCCCCCCCCACACACACACACCTCCCAATCACCCACACGCACTCACCCGCTGCCACACGGGTAGTGGCTCCAGCCCCTGCCTCTCCTGCCGCTCCTCCCCCCCACCAAACCCAGCAGCCTTTTGGGGCGAGTAGGAGGGCGGGTAGGCGAGGTCGAGGGGGTCGGGGAAGAGAATGTCCGTCACCCCAGGGGTCCACTGGGAGCTCAGCACTGCAAAGCCGGAGCGGCCCGATGAGAGCGAGTTGTCGTAGCTGTGCGGGTCGTCACACGCGTTCAGATAGAGCTCCGCTCGCAGGGCTGGGGAGAGGGGGGGAAGGGGAGAGATGGGATGGGGAAGAGGCGGTGGGAGAGGAGAGGGTGGTGACTGAGGAGCAAAGGTGAGTTGTCGTAGCTGTGCGGGTCGTCACACGCGTTCAGATACAGCTCTGCCCGCAGGGCTGTGGTGGGAGAAGAAGGGTAGGAGGGAGAGGGGGAGTGTGGGTGAGAACAGGATCAAGGACAAGCCGAGAGGAAATTGTGAGAGGTGTGTGTGTGATGCACATCGTAGCTGAAGCTTCTAGTGCAGGGAGGGACAGAGATAAATCCAACACGTGAATCACTATAAGGCAACCTTGAGACGTGAGCAACGTTGACACATGAGCACACATGACTAACTAACAAGGACTCACTCTGAAGCTCAAACGTGACCACGGCTTCATGAATCATCTTCACCGCCAGGTTGATTCTGAGAAGCTTCCTCTCGTCTTCCAGGAAGGAGCCATAGCGAAAGTACACCCGCCCTTCCACTACTCGCACCTGCGCCACACAGGTCATGAGCTGCGGGCGGGGAGGGGGAGGGGAGAAGGAGGGGAGAAGGAGAGGGAGGAGGTGTAGGAATTTGAACAAAACACCCCTCCTTCCACTACTCGCACCTGCGCCACACAGGTCATGAGGTGGGGTCGAGGAGGGGTGTGGGGGGGAGGGGGAGTGCAGAGGAGTGGGAGGGAGAAGAGAGGGAGGAGGAGCAGGACTTTTAACAAAAACCCGCCCTTCCACCACTCGCCACACAGGTCTGGTGGTAGGGAGGGTGAGGGAGGGGAGGGGAGAACAGGGGTGGGAAGAGGAATGGACGGGAGGGGAGGAGAGGGGAGGGGAGGGGAGGGAAGGGAGCGGAGGGGTTGGAAGGGGAAGGGAAAGGAAGGGTGGGGAACGGAGGAGACGGGGGAAAGCAAGGTGGTGGTGGTGAAGGTGGCAGTGCATGGTGCAGGGAGGGCAACTGGCAGAGCAGCCCACCTTGGGGTTGGTGGCGATGGCCTTGAGCGCTGCGGCCTTGATGAGGCCTGTCTTCCCCAGCCCGTCCGTGATGCCCTGTGGGTTAGGCAACACAGCGCATACATGCCAAGCCATGTACCCATGCACCCATGCATGCACCCATGCATGCACCCATGCACCCAAGCACCAATGCACCCATGAATGAACGCATTCAGCCAGGCATTTCTCATGCATCCAAACAACCAAGCACAATGCAATTCAGATATACGTAAACATGGTTAACTCGTGACTCGCGTTCACACTGATCCATACCAATCAAACAACTCCCCCACCTTGACTTGACCTTCCATCCCTCCTGCTGCCGCCTCATTCCTGAGCTATCCCCAACCACCGCAATGCACCTTATCCTTTGCTTTATTCCTCCCATAGCCCCTCGGAAACCTAATAAAACATATCCCATCAACACCCATAACCCCACCCCTTCACAGCCACACCGCCCTCCACCCTTTCCCACACCCCACGTGCAAACCCCTCTTGGCCCCTCCTCCCCCTTCCTTCCCCCCCTCCTTCCCCCCCTCCTTCCCCCCGTCACCCGGCCCAGCCGCACCTCTATTCTCGCCCACGGCGCCAGGAACCGCTCAGCCAATCGCGCGAAGGCAAGTGTCACGGGGTCACTGGTGCTGAAGGCGCCCGTGGTAAGCAACCCCTCCACCACCACGGCCCACGGCACCTTCCCGTCGTCCTCGCCCTCCCGAGCCGCCACCATCTTCCCCATCGCTTGCAGCCTTCTGCCCGAAAAAAACATCGGCCCCGCATTCTGCCCGGCGCTGGTACCTTCCCCGCCTCCGCTTCCTCCCGAACCTGCGACTCCGCCGAGCCTGTTAGGCCCGGTGTCCCCTAGCAGCACCCCCGCGCCTGCGCCCAAGCCTGAGGTGAAATCGAGGCCCGCGGCGGCGGCAGCGGCGGCGACCGCGGCATCTGTAGAGTCAGCAGTGTCGTTTAAAGCGACGGGCAACTTTTGGCAGTGTTGGGTTCAGAAGTTTTTTTTTTGAACCAGGCTTGCCAGCGCGAAAGTGCTGGCTGGCGAAAACCAGGATTTCGTGCGGACACTTTCCATCCGCAGTAACAGTTCGCCAGGGTTCTGGGTTTTGGGTGGCAAATGTGCACCGTCGCTTTAACCAAGGGCCTTCTAAGACTCCTCTGGCGTTTAGGTAAACGGCGAAGTCGCAACCGGCAGGCTCGACTAGTCTGCTGGCGAGATAAGGCGCGGGGAACCAAAAGAACCTAGTGGCGATTAATACGAAGACCGCGCACGACGCGATTACCACGTGCGGTCGCTCCCGCGCGATGCCATCTAGGAGACCGGCTGCGCCGCCGCCGCTTCCGCTGCTTGCGCCACGTGTGCTGAATGCGTTCGCCGCCGCTGATCTTGACGACGGAGAGTACTGGGATCGACGGCTCCCAGCTCTCGCTCGCGACGACATCGCTTCTGCGGTTAGCGAAACTCCCTCGACGTGGTAACCTGGTCAATCATGACTGCACTACAGCTGACAGCCCTGTCCTTCGATTCTGGTTCATGAAGATACGAACAGCATCTACTACTAGGTGGAGTGCCTCTATCGGATCAAAGGTGATCGCTCACATTGTCCGGTCACCTCCCATTTTCGGTTCCTTATAACGGTTACTAAAGAGCGTGGGAGTCAGTCATCGTCAGCGTCGAATGTTACGATAGCAGCATGCACCTGGGTATTCGGAGCGCGTGCAGAAACCTTGGGATATGCCTAGGCGAGAATACTGGCCGAGCTTGATTCAAATGACCCTCCCCGCGACCACTAGACCATACTGATAACTTATCAGTAACTCCCTCCCAACCCCTAGTGTCGCTCAGGGCGTGTCATATCCTGAACTTAAACAGCAGTTGAATGCGATTCAATAGTGTTCGAAAACGTTTTTCAACGTTGAGGTATGGTTCTAAGGAATTATTTTTAAGACGCTCAAGACTCTCGTTCCGTCGGCTATTGTAGGTTGGTGGAGTTGCAAGGTGCAGCATTCCTGGCTTGGTTCATTCAGACGAAGACTTGGTTGGTTAGGCAAATCTGTTACCACGTGTCGCTCTCCCTCGCATGAAGAGACGGTCGCATACGAGCGAGGGGGCGAATCACATGCCGGAAAGTAACATGTCGCCGAAGGTGTTGTACGTTGGGGGCATTTTCAGATTAGCGAAGGCAGACGCAGCAAGAAAGTGTGGGGGCACATCCATAGCCATCAGAACACGCTGACCAGGTTTCGTATCCGTGAGATTAAAATTGCGCGATGACCGACGTCTGACGAGCTTCGACGAGCGGCCACCTACGAGCGACGAGCAACGACAGAGACTATCCAAGAGCAACGACGAACGCTGAGCGACGAGCAACAGGCGAGACGAGCGACGAGCAGCTAGTGCTGAGCGCTTGGCGCGACGAGCAACTAGAGAAGAGTGAACCGCGAAAGACGGAGCTCCTAGCAAGAGGTGGAGTAGGTAGAGTTAAGTCATCAACATTATTCAGCAATTGTTGATTTTAGTGTACAGCTTCGTCGTTCTCCCTTCGAGCAATCTCTCGAGACGACAACCCGGTAGGTCCTCTTGCCAGGAACGGATTAGCGTCGTCATAAGATTGCCATGAAAAAGGCGGTGCGAGGCGCCATGACTTCGACCCTGCCTTTCCGCTGCCGACAGAGAAGGTGGTAACCCGCCAGTAATTTGAAAACGTTCTCTCTCCATCGCGCGCCGTGTCTCGGATAGCCTTCCTGGACGTTCCTGGCGGTTGTAGCTCAACTGGGGGAGTAGAGCTGGCTGTAGTGAACCGGTTGTAGCGCTGGCTGTAGTGAACCGGTTGTAGCGCTGGCTGTAGTGAACCGGTTGTAGCGCTGGCTGTAGTGAACCGGTTGTAGCGCTGGCTGTAGTGAACCGGTTGTAGCGCCGTGTCTGCGTTGCTGCAACTCGGGACACCGTTGTGTTTCTAAGAAGACTATAATAGGCATTTAGCACGGCTCCTGCTGAACCTTCGACGAGCGCTTATAGTATCCGGCATTCCCATGGGCTGCGTGGGGTCGACTGCGAAGGAGGACTCCCCGAAAGGTAGGAATGCGCTCTGTAATGCCATCCCCGCTTCCCCTTCCCCCGCTCTGCTCACCTGGTCCCCCCATCCCGTGCCCTGCCCTGCCCTCCCTGTGCCGTACTGGGCTGCGCCATGAGAGAGGGGGCAAGAGGTCGTCGGAACGAACCACTGCCAGTTCTATCCCGGAAATCTCACAAGTAACGAGTGTACGACTTTGCGCCTTGAGGTTTGTGAACCCACGGCGTCACACTCCCTCCTGGCTGGTTCACCATGCGCGTGTGTGAAGCCCAAGGCGTGGAAGTCTCTTATTGAGGCGCCTCAAAACGTGGCTGCTTCTCCATGCGCGCGTGTGTGGGCAGGCAAGAAGGTGGTGAAGCCCAAGGCATGGAAGCACCCAACGCCGCTGTCACAGGCAGAGCTGACGCGCATGAGGGAGGAGTTCTGGGACACAGCGCCGCACTACGGCGGCCAACGAGGTCCGCCCCCTTCCATCCTTCTTGCCTCTAGCCCCTCTATTGCTTGCCTACTTTATCTTCCTTCTGAGGCGCCTCAAGAGTTGGCGCGCATGAGGGAGGAGTTCTCAGACACTGCTCCGCACTACGGCGGCCAACGAGGTCTGCCTTCCTTCCTCCTCCTTGCCTCTAGCCCCACTAGCTTTCTTCATCTCTATCTCTCTCCCCTCTCCCTTTCCCTCCGTCTCCCTTCCTCGTCTTCATTTCTCAAATACTGAAAGGAAACATATTACTGCCATTTCCCTCGACCTTCCACCTCTTTGTCCCCATCCCGTTTCCCTCACCTCCCTTTGGCCGCCCCGTGCCTGCGTGTGGCAGAGATATGGGACGCGTTGAAGGCGGCAACAGATGGGGACCGAGACATGGCGCAAGTGATACTGGAGTCAGCAGGGGTGGTGGTCGACGTACCTGACATGTCCGTCTGCTACGATGAGAGAGGTGCGTCATGGTGGGCACTAGGCACTGGGAGGGAGGGAGTTCAGGATATGTAAGCATGCTGGCAGGCTCATGTACGGTACTAGTTCTCTGCAGGCTGATGATGCACCTCTGCCTCCTGATTACCTCAGCTCTCTCTGCACTCCTTGTCTATTGCAGGAGCCAAGTACGAGCTACCTCATTATGTTCTCAGCGATCCCATCAACCTTATAAAGGAATCTTGAGGGTCAGTCACAGCATTTAGAATGTACGGGTTCGAGGAACATTGTTGTGTCAACCGTTGCAATTGTTATTTGGTGTAGCGTTCTGTCTCATAGCAGTACCTATTGCTGGATGATTTCTGCTGGAAGTGGGATGGGGGGTACTAGGAGAGGAGAGGTGGTACCAGAGGGGAAGCATGCTTGTGTGTGCGTAATTGGTTTCTGTAGCATCCTACTCTGCGCACGGTCACCTGAAATACAGAGCACATGAAGCCATGTGCTGGAGCACATAGGGAACCTGTCATAGAGACGGAAGCCGTGCTCCTGGAGAAGTTATGCCACGTACCATTCGTGAGCCACTGAACCGGACATGATTGGAAACCCAATTGCGCAGCCTGCAACTTGCCCGTGTGGGTGTCAGAATCGAGCTGTCAAGTGGTGTACCCAGACAGCTTAGGAGGACTGTTACCGTAGATGCTAGGCTGCAGAAGCAACACTAGCATTGACACCAGCGGCAGTCTAAGGGATGATCTGCAACATCGCTACCGTTTTTCTGGGTGTCTCCTTCGTTGGTGCACATGGTTGGGTGGGTCTCTTTCTGGTCATATGTGTGTGTCCGTCTCCCTGCTTGGGTATATCTGCCGGCATCTAGCTAGGCATGCTTGCTTCCTTTGTTGGGTTATTTTTTCGTCCTGGTCGAGGTGGGTGTGCCTTACCGTACCATACCTTACCATGCCTCAGCATCTTTATACCTCACATTACCGGTACCTTATCAGGCCTCACCATCCCTTCACCTTAGTTCACCTACCACCACTCTCATGGACTACCGGTAGCAGTTAATTGGGAACGATCGCCTCTACTGCCGTGGCTACTAAGCCGACCCTCTAAACATCACCACTACTGTTACTCCTGCTGCTGTTCCTGCTGCCTTCCATTGGCCTGTGAAGGACAGAAGGCGATGCAGAGAGGAGGGCACGTTAGTGGGGAGGGCGAATGCCAAAGAGAAATACTGAGAGGGGGATAGGTACAGAGAGGGGGATAACACTCACCCTGTCCACTTCCAAATAATCCTTCCCTCACTCTGCATGCCAGAGAGCACCCAGGCCAACTACTTACCAGTGGTGAGCCAGTGCCTGAGACGGCTCAGAAGGGGGACCCCCCACGCCTCACTCGCACGGCACCTCCTTGGGACGCATTGCCAGCACTGGCGTCCCTCCGACGCACCATCGGTGGGAGCCATGCCCATTCCACGCCTCTCAGCCCACCAGGCACCCACCCACACCAGAGCACACACCACAGGAACAAGCACACAGGAGAGTGCGTCAGAAGCAGGAGCAGAAACGGACTCTGAAGAAACGAAAAGCGACTCTAAGACTTGCCGCACGGCGACCTAGACTGCTTCACCCCCCCCATAGACCGTCAGCCACTTACCATTCTGCCATTGCGACGAAATGCCGTATAAAGACGCCTCAAAAGGCAAATTCTCTCTCGCCCGACACCTTGTTGGGAGGCACGTCAGAGCGTCCCTGGGTCTCAGTCAGAGAAACACAGCAACCAGAG